TTTTCAGATGCATGCACATGTCTTTTTTCAAGACTATGCATGCAGAATCTGACATCAATATAAAATATACATGATCAATGGACCAGTAAAAGTAGGTTAGAATGACTTCAGTTTAATATGATGTATGCACCCAAAATGTTTCATAATTGTTCAAACAATTATAACAGAGAAAGTGCTCAAAAGAAGGGGTGCATTTCAATAGTCACTCAAATGACAACAATGCTATTATAAGCTCTCCTGCACATTCCTTCAGGGGAGGTAAAAATGGTCATGACTAAATAGCAGACTATTTGCTTTGCACAATTTTCTATGAAAACAGAGTTACAGCAATTGAATAAAAGCAAGCAATTCAACTGATTCAACAAAACAACTAAAACAAAAACTGTTTACCAAGCACTCAGTGCTCAATTATAATTTGGGTGGGAGAAAATCATATTTTGATATATCTAAAAACTGTATGAAATGCTATATTATTGCAATATATTGATTTGAGAAAAATAACTTGTCTTTATGTTATTGAAATCAAGTACCTACAAACATTAATTATTGCAATCATGTAGAAAAACCTTATAAAATGCTATATACTTGGTGCTTACTTGAAACACACATCTCAACTTGATTGAGCTGGGTTTTTTTTGTATTTCACCAAGAAACTTAATGTTAACATCATATATTAAAGCAGGCTGCAACAGCCTCAATAATCATCCACTGTGTTATGCTCTTGATGTTATGGAATATTTCACAAGGTTTTACACACATGGGTCAGAGTTTACAGTTATATTCATGTACTCTATGACAGCATCCCCAGGTCCAAATAATTATATTCGTGTACTCTATGACAGTATCCCCAGGTCCACATAATTATGTTCATGTACTCTATGACAGTATCCCCAGGTCCAAATAATTATATTCATGTACTCTATGACAGTATCCCCAGGTCCACATAATTATATTCATGTACTCTATGACAGTATCCCCAGGTCCACATAATTATATTCATGTACTCTATGACAGTATCCCCAGGTCCACATAATTATATTCATGTACTCTATGACAGTATCCCCAGGTCCACATAATTAAATTCATGTACTCTATGACAGTATCCCCAGGTCCACATAATTATATTCATGTACTCTATGACAGTATCCCCAGGTCCACATAATTATATTCATGTACTCTATGACAGTATCCCCAGGTCCACATAATTATATTCATGTACTCTATGACAGTATCCCCAGATCCACATAATTAAATTCATGTACTCTATGACAGTATCCCCAGGTCCACATAATTATATTCATGTACTCTATGACAGTATCCCCAGGTCCACATAATTATATTCATGTACTCTATGACAGTATCCCCAGGTCCACATAATTAAATTCATGTACTCTATGACAGTATCCCCAGGTCCACATAATTATATTCATGTACTCTATAACAGTATCCCCAGGTCCACATAATTATATTCATGTACTCTATGACAGCATCCCCAGGTCCACATAATTATATTCATGTACTCTATGACAGTATCCCCAGGTCCACATAATTATATTCATGTACTCTATAACAGTATCCCCAGGTCCACATAATTATATTCATGTACTCTATGACAGTATCCCCAGGTCCAAATAATTATATTCATGTACTCTATGACAGTATCCCCAGGTCCACATAATTATATTCATGTACTCTATGACAGTATCCCCAGGTCCACATAATTATATTCATGTACTCTATGACAGTATCCCCAGGTCCACATAATTAAATTCATGTACTCTATGACAGTATCCCCAGGTCCACATAATTATATTCATGTACTCTATGACAGTATCCCCAGGTCCACATAATTAAATTCATGTACTCTATGACAGTATCCCCAGGTCCACATAATTAAATTCATGTACTCTATGACAGTATCCCCAGGTCCACATAATTATATTCATGTACTCTATAACTGTATCCCCAGGTCCACATAATTATATTCAATTTCTCTATGATAGTATCCCCAGGTCCACATAATTATATTCATGTACTCTATGACAGTATCCCCAGGTCCACATAATTATATTCATGTACTCTATGACAGTATCCCCAGGTCCACATAATTAAATTCATGTACTCTATGACAGTATCCCCAGGTCCACATAATTATATTCATGTACTCTATAACTGTATCCCCAGGTCCACATAATTATATTCAATTTCTCTATGATAGTATCCCCAGGTCCACATAATTATATTCATTGAACTTGATGATCAGTTACTTTGTGGTTTAAAGTCAAGGTCATTAAATGATCAACATTAACAAACTTACATGCTAACAAGATTGTCATGCAAGGCTGAGTATGACTACAGGGACCTGACAAGATTGTCATGCAAGGCTGAGTATGACTACTGGGACCTGACAAGATTGTCATGCAAGGCTGAGTATGACTACAGGGACCTGACAAGATTGTCATGCAAGGCTGAGTATGACTACAGGGACCTGACAAGATTGTCATGCAAGGCTGAGTATGACTACAGGGACCTGACAAGATTGTCATGCAAGGCTGAGTATGACTACTGGGACCTGTCAAGATTGTCATGCAAGGCTGAGTATGACTACTGGGACCTGACAAGATTGTCATGCAAGGCTGAGTATGACTACAGGGACCTGACAAGATTGACATGCAAGGCTGAGTATGACTACAGGGACCTGACAAGATTGTCATGCAAGGCTGAGTATGACTACAGGGACCTGACAAGATTGTCATGCAAGGCTGAGTATGACTACATATACCTGACAAGATTGTCAGACATTATGGAATCAAGATCATAATGGATGGCAAAATAACAAGATGATTTCAATATGCCTATACATTACTAACAAAGAAACAGCAGCTTCATGGTGATGAAGAATCACAGACTTTTCCATAAATACCTATTCAGAGTAAACCCCATTCATCAAAAGTATATGATGTTTGAATATGTTCTTAATAATATTTTTACAAACATAATAGACTTCCGGTCAAAATGTCCTTTATATTTTTATGTCAACATCATGTCACGTCAATATAATAAATGAATACACAAATATCTGTATTGCCTGGTTCATACCATATTGTACTAATATTCAACATTGTCATGCACTACTAATGTTAATGTGAAGCTTTGACTAGCACCACAGGACAAGAGTGATTTGACATGTATACTTGATGAAATGAATTTCCAGAAATATAGAATAAGCTTATTTTGTCTGTTCTTTTGTCTGTTCTTTTCTTCCTTAAACTGTTGTGGTACTTGAGCCATCTCAAACAACTCCAACATTCAATCTTTGCTAACATAAATATTTTCTTAGTTAATATTAGAGATGGGTACCACAACAAATTCTGTACTGCAGTATTTATGTATATACACTATACACTAAATTTACTTTATGGTAAAGAAATTTGCTGATAGTATGTTAACTGTGGCATATATTGTTATTTAAACACTGTACCTAAAGTGGAATGATTCAGATTACATTATAGCTGACACCATGTTACTGAGCCTATGGATGAAAACTGACACTGACAGTCTATTTGTGACATTACTGTTATAACTGGCAGAAAAACTTTGTGTGGAATGCCAACAGCAAATTAGAATATTATCATAGATGGCCAGTAAACAAAACAAACAACTAAACAAACCATGAACTCAGCAAAGAAAATATTTGCTGTCTGGAGAAATTACATATAATTCAAAAAGAGAAAGAGTCTCCTCAAGTTCTTTGGATCATTCTCAATCAAATAACTAAATCCCTGTATTTACTGCATTAACATGCACTAGTATAACGCATTTTGTCTTGTTTTCTTTAATTCCAAATATTTTTGAATGTTAGATTTTGTCCAAATATCTTTAACAACATCCCAATGGGCAGCCACACAATGTTTTAGTGTTGTAGTGAAAAACACATGGCTATATAACCATCTCTTCTCGCAAAATATCCATGAAGATTTTCAAGACCACTGCCACAACAGCCGTTTTGGAAGTCAGATCTGCATAATACTAATATAAACATGCCAAGAAGTCTTTTCTGGAAATATCCATGTTGCTATCACCATTTGTTTTGAAGCAGGAGTATTCATAACAAGATTTTTATGATCAATGCTGTATTGGTGGCCATATTGGGTTCATATCTGCATCATTTTCATGCAAATTCAACTACACATCATAAGACATCTTGTCAAAAATCAAAATCATAACATGACCATAATTTGTATGAGTTTAAAAATGGCCACTATTAAGGCTATGTTGATTTACACAACTTTCATTTCTAACCATTTACATGTCACAAATGTCTTAACGAGCAAAATCCCATGTCAATATGACCCCATCCTTTACATGTCACAAATGTCTTAATGAGGAAAACCCCATGTCAATATGACCACCCTTTACATGTCACAAATGTCTTAACAAGAAAATCCTGTCAATATGACCACCCTTTACATGTCATAAACGTCTTAACAAAGAATACCCCATGTCAATATAACCCTCATTTCAGAAGAAGCAATCACATGATCTACAAGGTGGCCAAGCACTGCATCCATGCTGGATGTCAAATTAGCTCCATTTTCATTTAGGATGATATCATGAAAAGTCATTTAGTGAAAACCCCAATGTCAGCATATGTTTAAGAGAAGTCGTGATATGAGGATTTTCAAGATGAATTCTATGGTGGCTAAGATGGATTCTATTGTGGCCATGTTGGATGTCAGATTGGTACCATTTTTAATTAGGTGTGTGTGTATGATTTGGATTTTTACCATAGCTTTAACAATTTTTCAGTCATATCATTAAAATATTTTCAATGTGGCATTTTATAGTGATGTCTAGCACTGAGGCATCATGCCGCAGACAGGTATCATGATGTCCCATCCAGCCACATTATCCTGACACCAGGTCAACTAGTCCTAAACTCTTAATGCTGAGAGCCAAGCGAAGCAGCTGTTAGTACCATTTTTGTTAAGTCTTTGGTATGACTCAACAGGGGATCAAACCCATTACCTCCTGCATATGAGACAGACACTCTAACCACTAGGCCACCAATTTAGTCTTTTTTTTAATTAGGAGCATCTATAAGTAATACAAATGGTTTTCATGAAAACATTGACATGATTCACAAAATGTCGCAATATCAAGATTTTCATGCTGATTAGGACAGTCTGACAGGAACATTTTCATTTAGATGTAAACCAATTACAAATATGATAAATATTTTGGAGATGAAGCAATAACAGTAATTTCTAACTGGCCAGAATAGTAGAAATATTGGTTGTTTAAGAGAAACCATTTTCATCTATTACTTTGCAGAACGCAGGATGAAACAATATTCCAAGTTTAGTAACTTTCCTCCAAGTAGTTAGGGGAAGTAATAACAAGCAAATGTTAATAGACAGTGGAGGACAGATAACAGGACAAATGCTGATCCATTGTGCAAGCACTGCTGGTCATTGACCACTCTATTTTTAAGATCATGTCCTAAAAAAACAAAGAATGCAGAAATTCTGTGAAATTCAAATTCTCATCATGTCCAACTTCACACAATGAAAATTCATACCCAACTTTACACAATGAAAATTCATACCCAACTTCACACATTAAAAATTCATGTCCAACTTCACACAATGAAAATTCATGTCAACCTTTGCACAATTAAAATTCAAATCCAACTTTGCACAATGAAAATTAATGTCCAACTTCACAAAATGAAAATTCATACCCAACTTCACACAATGGAAATTCATGTCCAACTTTGCACAATAAAAATTCATGTCCAACTTCATGCAATGAAAATTCATGTCTAACTTTGCACAATGAAAATTTATGTCCAACTTCACACAATGAATATTCATGTCCAACTTCACACAAATGTAAATATCCCTGATATCTATCATTACCTGCTACACCACTGCATCTCACTTTATGACTTCCATAAGTATAAAATGGAGTCTGCCCTTGTAATCAAGGCCATTTCCTAATGGCTATTCAATAATGAAAATAGGAAATGGGCATGCAAGGCTTTCTGCTAATAATACATGAGTAGCTGATGTAATCAAAAAAACATTCTGCATATTTTATGTTGACCAATAAAATTAAAATTCAACAGGTGGTGGAGGCTTTGAAAAAATTTCCATCATTAATATCTGAATTAACATTTAATTTTTTTTAACTGTACATGTATGTGGATAACTGGGCATATGGCAAAATATAGAACTTCAAATGACCAGCTAATAGTTAAGCTCACTGCATGTGGCAAAAATACAGTATTGCAACTGACCAGCAGTTTTAAGGAAAAATACTACAAAATACAAGAAGAAAATATTTTCATGTGACCCGTAAACAGAATAATTAAAATCATTTCTAATGCATAACATTTTAATAACTCTGAGAAGATTTGGACATTAATAATTTGGAACAAGGACTAAAAGTTATGGACCACAATTCCACTTATTATAAACATGTTAGTATATCAAATTTAAACTTCTGAATCTCATTTTTATTACTTGGCCAACAAACAAAATAATTGTTCATTGAAAAATCAGCAATCAACAGATTCAAATCAAGTCGCAATATATTAAACTCACCAAAAAAGATTGGTGTTTATTTTTAAGGCATATTTAAGAATGTACTCCAATTTCTGGAATACTACAACTCTATTTTAAGAATACAATGACCTATATGTATAATTTTAAAACTTTTGAATTACCTTACCACTGTCTCTGTTCTGACAAAGCTCCCAATACTGTCAGAAATATCCCAACACTGTCAGAAATATCCCAACACTGTCACAAATATCCCAGCAATGTCACAAATATCCCAAACAGTCACATATATCCAAACACTGTCAGAAATATCCCAACACTGTCACAAATATCCCAACACTGTCACAAATATCCCAGCAATGTCACAAATATCCCAGCAATGTCACAAATATACCAAACAGTCACATATATCCAAACTGTCACAAATATCCCAAACAGTCACATATATCCAAACACTGTCAGCAAGATAATGTAATATCAAAAGTAGAGCTGCAATTTTGAAGAATTTTGTGAAAACCAGTTTCAGTATAAAATTTTGGGTACCTCCTAAATTTTCAGCAGTTTCTAGAAAAATAAACAACTCAAAAATAATAACTGCCTACCTTAAATTAAGTTTTGAATATACAGTGTATGGCCTTGCCCCTCTATCAAATGTTTGCTCAACATTTCATGCAATAAATCATATTCTAGACTTATACATCTTACTCCATAGCAACACATGCAGCAACCTCTTTGATCAGAATAGTTTCTAGATTTGGAGTAAAGTTTTATGATTGATCTGGTCTGACATATTTTCAACACCCGATAAAACATCACCAAGATAAAATACAAATACATGTTTCAGAAATCAGGTTACAGTGAAGTCTGATATATCTTATAAACACCACACAAATAGACATTAAATTCCAACCTTGTATGTTTGCTTCCTGTTAACTCCTGTAAAAAAGCATAGATTGTGGAGTGCAAAATATTTCAAGCGAGTGCAAAGAAATAAATGTATGTGGAAGAATTGCTATTTACAAAAGCTGTGCACTGCAATATGATGCATATCATGTTCCAAACATCTGAAAGACTAGTAAAGATGGCCCTGTGATGGACACCTTCCTCATGCATGCATCCACAGTCTAGGTTAAATACTCTCACTGATACCAGGATAAACAGTTAATATGTAAGATTTAAATAGTGATACCATGATACAATGTTAATGTGCAGAACTCAAGGGGCTGACAATACAGGTAAATTTGTTCTCGACAAATAATGAGAAACTGGTAGATAGGTGTTGCCATCTGATCCGAGTGAAAATCAATGGTAGAAAAACACATGCCTCTGTGAGGTGTAAACCTTTCCATTCCAAACAGTAAAGTCGTCAGTCAATGTTATCAGAATTAGAGCCAATCCAAAATCAGCAAGCCTACACAATGAAACTTACAGGTCAGTGCAAACAATAAAAACTGCAATAAACAACACTGCTGTTAAAATGTTTGAAAGTTTATTCCTATTCATAGACACATGTTTTGTAACAAAAACCTGCTGCCCAAAATATAAAAAGACAAAGGAAGCCAGGTTTAATAAAAAGATAGATAAAAAGATAAAAGAGGTCTTTGTGGGATCGAGTCATGGGATCAGCCAACATGGGTGTATGAGAAAGCTTCCTGTGGGTTGGTGATTCACCCACCAAACATACTGGCTCTCATGTAAAACCTGATGTGCTGAAAAATGGTGTAAATCCATTAACAACAACACTGGCAAAGGTGACATTTCTAGATGAGACCCTGGTTGTTATTGGACAGAATATGCATTTATGTCTTTGAAAAACATGCGCTGAACTTGGAGACCCAAATGAATTGGAGAGTGTGATGAATCAGTGGACACTTTGCTTCCTAGGTATGTGAATTCATCAACCTATTCTAGTGGTTCATTATTTACACTGATAGATTATTGGTTTATAGTTTTTCCATTCAAAAGATGCAAGAATAATTTCTGTCAAATTTGATTAACATGAATTTATAAGTTTTGTTTAACAAGAAATTGTTTTAAGGTTTTCTATTTTTAATAAGACGGATCAGCATCATCTGTAAAATCATGAAATGCCTTCAAGCTTTGTGTCAAATCAGCTCAGTCTGTACAGCAGTTTTGAGAAGTCATTTTAAGGTCTGTCCATTTTTCAGCAATGGAAGTTATAACTGATAGTGCACTGACATTATTTAAATAAATTTTAAGGGATTTTATGCATGAATTCTTTTTTTAAAATTAGTAGAAATTCTAATTAATGCCTTTGGTAGAAATTCTAATTAGTGCCTTTGGTAAAAAGTTTTTAGTAATGGGAGTTATAACTGATGGTGGATTGCTATCTATTACACAAATTTTAAAATCTTTTCTGCAGGAATGCTTTCTGTCAAATTTGGTCAAATTATATTCAGCAATATTTATGAAGAGAATATTTCAAGATTTTCAATTTTTAGTAATTTTGGAAATAGCAAATGGGCATTACTGGTATAAATCTACATGGTCTTTGATGCCAGTACACTTTCTGTAAAAATTTGGTCTTCCTCAATTAGCACTTTTTTAGGTGTAGAAGGCTTTTCAAATTTTAGTGCAGGTATCCCTATTTGTAGGTGGACTGACATTCTGATTTATGTGTAGGTATCCATATTTGTAGATGGACTAGCACCATTTGTAATTTTAATGTAAGTATCTATATTTGTGAGTTGACTGGCACCATTTGTAATTTTAATGTAAGTATCCATATTTTTGGGTGGACTGGCATCATTTGTGAAAAGCTTTAAAGACTTTCCTGCTTGAATGCTGAAGTTAAAATTGGTCAAATTCTTTTCAGCCACTTTTATGAAGTTATTTTAACATTAATTATTTTAAGTAGTGGCAGCCATACTGGATTGCAGACTAGCATTATTTTTACAAACTGAAAGGCCTTCATAACAGAAGTTGAAAATACAAGTGTTGATAGATGCATGATGAATAATAATACAATGTCATACCATCACCTGACTTGACCTTAAAATCAGACAGGACAAAAAATAGGTTCCTTATTACCCACTTGTGGACTGTAAAGAAAAATTAAGTGCTGTATCAACCTGTGCACACTGTTGTTATCAAGACTATGCATCTAAAATTTAGACACGCAGCAGTTTTTAATTAAGTCTATCACTACATTCAGTCCTGTTCCTTAAGCATGAAAAAAACTGCTGTCATGATGCTACTTTACAAGAAAATCTTTGTAGCCTTTTATCTTCTTTAATTGTTTCTTCAACTCCTTTATGAAATCTGCAGGTTGAACCACAATAGAGATATCTAGTCCAACAGCCGATAGTAGATGATCAATCTGAAATAGTTAAGTTTTAAAAATTAATACAATGTATAAACAACTATATAGCCTCACTGAATGAAGATTTGAGTTGACTCCAGCAGCCTTTGTAAACAATAACTAAAATTCATAAAATAAATTCAGATTAAAACAATCTTAATTTACAAAATTATGACCTTTTTAACAGAA